TATATATATATACAGTTAAGACTCTCGTAGCGACCACACTTAGGTAAAGGGAATGTGGTAGATATTACACCCTGTAAGGCCCAAACTTAATAAAACTAATAAAAGAAAAAGGTCAAAAAAAAAAAAAAAACAGAAAGAGAAAAAAAAAACAAAAACAAAAAAAAAACACAACCATCTGAACCATCTGATATACAGTCATTTCACTACAAATAATTTTAAATTGATTAGCAGCCAATCTTGGGTTTTATGCAAAATAATACATGGAAGGTATCATTTACCCCTCTGCTAATTGACTTGGAAATTTATTTTTTTTATTTATTTTTTATTTCCAGTTGCATTATTTTTCACTATTATATTCCGTTTATTTTTACTGTTGTAACCTCATATTTTTGTATGGTTTGATGTGATATTGTTTGATTAAATGTGATGTACTTCAAATTTACTTCTAAGGAGCTTCTGCTATCCGTTCACTAGAATTTTCTCTATCACTCCATTTTAGGTGTAATGTATATTTCTATTCATGTTTTATAAATGCTGGTAAAAAATATAAATAATCTTAAGACTAAATAAAAGGTTTAAAATGATGCAAATGTCAAGCCATAATATGCCTTGACATAATATAATTATTAAAAAAATAAATAACAAAATACATGGGCCTATACATTCTGAATTGGTGGATATATATACGGCAAAGTACTAGTCTAGCTAACAGTACCTCATTTTAAGAAGCCATTCAGGTAATTCCAAACGTATTTTATATATATTATTATTATTATATTAGATTATTTTTTGTTCATGAAATAGCGCTTTGTAGGCCCTATGTACTGTAATGTATTTATTATATTATACTATTTTATATTATTATCACACATCACATCGCATCCCATCAGATCACACCATATCACATCATATATAATATCATATCACATTATATCATATCATATCATGTCATATCATATCATATCATCGAATCATATCATCGTATCATATCATATCATATACCATATCATATCATAATTTTTACATTACATTTTAGGTTTATAATTAATTATTCGATATTAGGAGTAAACCTTGATAAAAGTAGCTTGTATAAAATACTGTCTGTTGTACCTGGTAACCAGTATATACATTTTATTATAAATTATATGAGTTTAATTTATTCTTTCATTGTTTTTCATTGAAGTTACACTACTACAAGACTACCAGCACAATACTCCATTAAAAATACAGATAGTACCACAGCTATTAAAATATACGTTGAATGTTATTGACCAATACAAATTGTAGGACTAGGGTAAATTTGAGAATTTATAATTCGATGATCCACAATATTGAAGCGGTTAAAGGCTAAGATTGCTACCGCACAAAATGCAGAAGGACGGCCATAAATTGCCAGAGGCATACCTCTTGATTCTTCTAGAAATCCATTCTAGGCCCTACTATGTAGGTCTTCATCTGCTCCTACCTGAGACTTTACAATCATAGACATTACCACTTCCTTATTAATAGTTTCTGTACGCGTGCCTTGCTGTAATTGTATTTATTTGTGTTGTTAATTTGATGTATATTAATATTTTGATTTATATATTTATACAGTAATTTCAATTTTTATATAATTGTATGTGCTTTAGTTTTGAATGGGTCGAACCAGTCCATGTGGGAGTGTTCTACTGTTTTAAAGGGGAGTACCAATAAATCTTATATTATCTTTACATATTTTATTACTGTTGAATGTTAATATTGTTGACCCCTTATTTGTAAGTAAAAGCAAAATATGCACTTATATTTTTACAAATAAAAAACACCACAAAATTATTTTTGTGTTTAACTGTTCTTGTATTTTTATACTAATAAATATTGTGCGTTCTGTATTAGCTGTCCTGAATTATATTTTTTTACACAAATCATTAAAAATCAAGCCCGTAGAAGTGTTTCTTTCCTTGCACTGTAGGATAAAATCAAACGGATAGGCCTACGCACAATTTTAGTCCACCCATAATCCAACATTCACCGCATTAACTCTGAATGCCTATATATTTTAATAAACTTGCTAACAGTGAAGTCGGCTGTTTTGTGTTTAATACATTTTACATTGTTGTGTTGTTTCAGAATTCCACCCCTGCCAAGCACCTTTTCGCCGCGTCTGAAATCAAAGTCAAAAGTAAAGCCGAAGCGTGGGCAACAATTATACATCAAAGCTCTCTCACATTAAAATAGCTTTCTTTCGCATTTTATATCTTTTTATTTGACGCAATGTAGCGACAATTATTTTGGTCAAGGGAACTTGGTTGGTATTAAAACCTGTGAGGCCAAACTTAATGCATTATCGAGTCTCATGTAAAATAATAAATACAGCAACATAATATTATGTAATAACTCAATACTTCCTATTTTAATAGGCTTTTGTAGTTACTTCTAAGATACTTTTGTTGACTAAAAAAAATTCCCAGTGGTGGTGAATTGGCAGAAGTAAAATACCACAGATAAATACAATTCTAAGCCCAAAGTATGTAGTCGCAGTCGCATACGAGAGGCCGGCGCTTACGAGAGTTATCAAATGCTGTGATTAAAAAGGGAATAAAACGGACACTTGACAAGATTAGTGGTCGCTTAAGAGAGGTGGTCGCCTAAGAGAAGTGGCCTCATAAAGAAGTTCGACTGTAAAGGACTATGCATCAACTTTAACAGTGACATTTAAGTCAAAGTCAAACTTCCTTTAGTGAAAAGAAACTGTAAACTCACATGTAACATTAAAATATGAAAACGCAATACAACTATTCCGTAGAATAAATTAAATGATATTTCGCTGTTATATTTTACGAAGGTAGTAATATTATAAAATTTAGGATACACTGTCGACAAAATTATCTGGAAAAACCTAAAAACAACAAAAAATAAATAGATCGAAAAATACTCTTAAGCAGATTACCAACGAATTTAGGGTTCTATGCAAAAAATACAGATAAGGTAAAGTACCAGTTTGTTAATTAACTAGGACATTTTTTCTCATTTAATTTTTAATTGTAAGTTAATAAACTTAACGGTTACAAAATAAGTAATTTTTACAAGAAACTGTGAAAATCAAGCCCGTACGTATAAGTGTGTCTTTCCCTTGCGCTGTCGGATAAGATAAAAAAAATACACACAAGTTTAGTAGGGCCATAATTTAACATTCACAGCATAAAATCTGTAGTTCTATATTATTTTAATGTTTGCTGTTTTAAATTTTATGATTAATTGATAGATTGGCTATATT